CTGTAAACCACGGCTTCACGGGGGTTATTGCTTTTATAAAACGGTTATTCCATATACGTAGTAAGGTTTCACAAAATAAAACAGAGCAAATAAAGTGTAATGATATTAATAAAAAACAGTATTCTTCCACCAAACAATGTAGCTCCTCAGAAACAGTTGTGGTTGCAACAAAGTGGTTGCCGAGCAACACACAAACGTAAACAAAAGTGTATGTTACTTTGTAGAGTAATTTACAACAGCTTCGAAATGCGGCTCAGCCAATCAGAATCAAGCACCGGAACTCTGTTTTATAAAATAAGTTTAACAGAAAGGGGAACCTTGTAAAACATACATTGAGTAGGGTCTTCACCTTTAAGGAAAAATCCTTATGACCTTGTATGACCTATGCGACATCTGGTCAGCAGCAATTAAATGTTTTCCAGAAAGAGAGACAGAATAAATATGTTTGACTTCATTTTTTTTAACCACATTGGAATCGGAACTGGGAATCGATAAACAGAATCTGAATACGACTTGATAAAATTCAAACCCTAATTAGGACGGGCGTTTGTGGCACGGTATGGTTTTCGTTTGGCGAGACACTCACCCACTCCGTGACGTTACAGAGGGAGCTAGACGTGGGCTGCAGCAGGCAGGTGCTCCTGTAGGGGGCGCCTTGGAACCTGAAACGCAAAAACAACATCACGTGATGATTAAACTACTACTTAGAGCGCTTTGGGGAAAAGCCACTGGGTCTCACTTGCTAATAATTACATAGATAATTCATTTTCAGTACTTCTCGCGAAAACATTCTGGCTAACTCACAACAACATGACTTTGTTCCTAATCTTGCCCCAATATTAATGTATTTAAAGTAAATAAAAGAAGCGACTGCGTACCTGAGGTTAGTAATTAGCATAAAATATACAATTTCAATATCAGGACTTTTTGCACAATCATTCCTTTATAATCTTTCATAATTCCCCCCGATAAACTTGGCATTCACTTGCAAAACATATGCATTCTCCCCCAAGAAACGTTGTTTGCTTGCAAAACTTCCGCATTCCCGATAAACTCTGCATTTGTTCATCAAACCGGACTCAGAGTAATTTAGCGAAATTCGTTCTCAAAAGTTTTGCATTACCCCAAGAAAAGTTATGACTGCTTGCAAAACGTTTGTGTTTCCGTAATACACTTTGCGTTAACTTGCAAAATTTCTCTCAAACATTTTGCATTTTCCCAAGAAACACTGGGTTCACTTGCAAAACTTGTGTTCTCAATAAACCCTGCATTGATTTGCAAGACAGGTTTCCCTGAGAAACTTTGCGAAATTTTATGCATCTTTTCCACTCCGACAAATAAATTATAAAGATTTGTGTGGCAGCAGCAATATACAGTAAATAAATCAATAAATGTACTGCTCTGTTGTCTCCTCTGAGGCTGGGACTTGAGCTCAAACTTTCGCCATGGCATTAGAGCTAGTACACCGTTGTCGCTTGCGAAAACACAATACCGTTATTGCCATGGGTGGATACTTACAGATTAAGGGGCGGTAATATTATAATGAGATCCCTTTGCCACATCACCAAGGGAGCGAAATCAGACGCGCTCGTTTTCTCAGACGCTTGCAGAAAAAGGCTTCCCAAAACAAAGTTACTGGGTTAATCTTTTTCATGTTTCCTTGGTTGGTAGATGCACCGGGGACCTGATTATAGCACTTACAACCTGGAAAAGTCAGATTTTCATGATATGTCACCTTTAAGAGAAATAACCATACACTTTTCGTGTTCAGGTAATTTTGACCCGTTTATGAATGGAGTACCATTAGGTGTCAAAAATATCATGTTGTGTGTTCTTCACAAGAAACATTTTGTTCACTTACAGAAGTTTTGCGTTCCTGTGGTAAACTTTCACCAGCAAAACTTTCGTGTTTTCTGGAAAGCTTTGTGTTTCATCCAAGAAACTTTGCGTTATCTTGCGCAACTTTGGTTTCTGTACACTAACTTTGTGTGCGTTCTCAAAACTCCTGCATTTCCACATGAAACTGTGCGTTCGCTCGCAAAACTTCGGCGTTGCCAAGAAATTGTGTTCTCGCAACACTTTTGTGTTCCTTTCAGTTGTTTCAACATTTTTTTGTAAATTTAGAATACATTTTAGCAGAAAAGTTCTGATTAAATGAATTGTGATTTATAAAACATTCGTACTCAGATTTGAAAAATTCCTGTGCGGTTAGTGAACGAGACCCACTGTTTTTAATTGAAATCATATGGGAACATTCGAGTATGTTCAATGCGGTTAAGTGGCAATGCGTCCAGACTTATGACACGACCTGATTTTATCCGACTCACCCGAGATCTCTGAAAGGTATCTCAAACTCCAGCTCCTCCTTGGTGAGCGACTCGACCTTCTCGATGAAGTTCTTGAAGGCGGATTTGAGTTTGTGTCGCATCTCTCGCTCCATCTGTTCGGCGTAGAGGTCGTCGCGGTCGTGCATGTGCTGGTGTTTGCCCAGGTCTGTGGTGATCTCGCCCACCTCCGTGTAGAACTGCACGTCCGTGTGGCGCTTCTTACCGAACATGATGGCGTTCTACGACAGACAGAGAACTTCGTTAAAGTCAGTCGGTGTAGCGCTAGACACCGGACAGACGTGTTCAGTGTGTCGCACACCTTCAGATGGAAGTGCAGCACGATGATCATCTCGCCGTCGCAGGGCTGGAATATGGCGTGCTTCATGTTGTTGTAGAGGATGTCGACTTTATCGCCGCGTACCGACGTGAAACGGAAACCTGGAGAGACACGAAGAGAGTCGGTCGTTTGCGATTAACACACGATCAGGTCAGTTTTCACCTGGAAGAGATATGTAATTACTAATGAATAGTTTTTGAGTAAGGGAACGAAGCTTTTTGTGTTCAGGTCATTTTGACCCGGGTATGTATGGAACACCATTAGATATCAAAAAGACTTTTTGCCATGAAGTTATACAAGTGTCAAAACATTTAGCCTTTTCCCCATAACTGAATTCTGCAGATGAAAATAACGTCACCTATTGACAAACATTGCAGCATAAAAATCTGCATTTCTTTTTTTTTTTTTTATCTGAAAGCTAAAGTTTACGCAAGTATAATGAATTTATTTTGTTTGAAGACTTCCCAGAGCAATATTAGTGTTGTTTTGGTGTTTTATTAGAAATAAATACATAGGTAATTCTCAAATAATATGTTTGTATAAACTACATACAATGATATATTCAAATAAAGGTTTTCAGCAATATTGAAAAAAAGAAAAAAATACGAGAAAACCTGGGCAGAAAATCCTGGAAAGTTTCCAAATTTCTGGAATGTGTCCAGAAATTTACCAGAAACTTTCTGACTAATAACATTGAGAAGTTGGCAATCAGATACAACATTGTTTTAGTTGAGAACAATTTAGTTGACCGTTTTACAAAACGATTCTTCTGGTACCAATCAGGTGAATTAATTTTGAATTAATCAGATTTTGAATTAATTATAAGAGTTAATGGCTGTTATATGATAGAGATTGATGCCATTTTGTTAGGAAACAACTGGAATTGATAGATTATATCCTGCGCAAATGGCCCATAGTGGCCTTATAATTCAGTTGCATCAGCCTGCATCACATACGAGCATGATTTCAGTCGCTCTTCTCTAGATTGGTCATTTAAACCCACATTAAAGGCCTAGTAAAGCGCAGAAGCTCTCTCACCATTGGTGTGCGCCTCCAGCGAGCCCTGCATCCTCTTCTGCGCGATGTTGGGCCGGATGTAAAGGTCTTTGAGCTTGGGGTTGCTGCGGTTGAGGTTGATGACGAGCGAGTCCTGTTTAACGATGCCCTCCTTCTCCTTCTCCTCCGCCTCGCGGGTCTTGTAGCGCTTCTGCACCTCTTTAATGATGCGGAAGGCGTTCTGCAGGTTGGTGGAGGGAACGGAGTGATCGCCGGGCGACTTGAGGTTCGACGCGCGGTACGTACTGAAAGAGAGGACAGTGTTAGCACGCTAAAAGGCTTTAAGCATGCTTAAAGGGACTGTTCAATCAAAACTTAACTTTCTGGCATGCTACAAAAAAGGTGTAGCAAAATAACGGAGGCAAAACGGCAAATGGTGACATTCACTATGAATGTGTGGAAAAGAGCAGCGTGGACATTCTGCTAAATATCTTCTTTTGAGCTCCACGAAAAAAAAGAAAGAAAAAAAAAGTCATACAAGAATTGTTTAAATCTTATTTTTGTTAAATCTAAAACTAAATCTGGTCTCGCTCCATTACATATCTTTTCATTAGAATCTAACAAGTAAAGTGTACGAGGAGTTAAAATTAGTGATACACCAACATTTTTAATTCTGGGCTGAAACCCGAAAATTCAGGATGCACTTAGACAAATATTGAAACCAAAGATAATTTAATTAATCAAAATAAAGTTCTAAATAAGGCAGTTTTATTCAACTTTTTATTAACAGAACTACATTTCTACAATTTGTTATTAAAATATTAAAAACTATTACAAATTAATACATATCAGTATTGATAAAAATATATAAATCACTATTTATTTATGTCTACATATTTTTACATTTTTGCTCCGTTTTTAAACCAGTCTTCATATTCTTCTTTATTATTAATGTTTACTTCAGTTTTAGTTATACGTGTTAAACAAAATGAAAATTTTACTTGGCATGCAGCTGAAATATATATTTTTTTGTTTTGTTTTGTTTTTTAAATTAAGATATTTTAAATTTTAAGATTTTATGCACATCTTGACAATACATTTAAAAAAAAAATGGTTTAAGAACTATGATAACCAAATAATGATTGATTTTAAAAAAGTATCTTTTTTTAATTTTAAGATTTTTATTTTTATTTTAAGCACATCTTTTTATGCATATCTTGTCGTTTTACTCCAGCATTCAATGCAACAATGCAATATCCCAAAAACTTACACTAATATGCTCAGATACGCTTTAGACAGTCTTTTAGGTGTTCGCTGACACAGTGACCAACCACAGAACTGATTTTGTAGTGTTACACTAATCAAAAAAGCCCAGTAATAGGTTTGGAGAGGCTTACATCTCTTTGACAAACGTGGCCTCGGGGTTGGGGAAGATGTTCCCGTCGTGGCGTCCCAGCGAGCTGCCGGGCACGAAGAAGTTTATCCTCAGATACGTGTAATCTCCTTCCACAGACATGCTGATGTTCTGCAAACACACGACAGACTCAGACCAAGCCGAAGCGCCTCAGATATCGCTCCGCAGCAGATGCCTTTACCTTGATGGTGGCGATGTGGAACGGCGTGGCGATGCCGAACACGGGCATGACGACCGTCTCGTACTTCTTATCGATGAAGATCTTCATGTCTCTGATGTCCTTCTCGCGGGGCATCTGGGAGACGGTCTTATACGACACGTTCGACTTTCTGGCTCTGAGGCGGAAACGTGAGAAGAGAAGAGCGTTTGTGTCAAACTAGCGTGACGAAATGTGACCACAAAACCATTGGGATTGAGATTCATACATCATCTGAGAGCTGAAGAAGTGTGTCCCTGCAGCACAAAAGCAGTGTTAAGTCGCTGGGGTATATTTGTAGCAATAGCCAAAAATACATTGTATGGGTCAAAATTATACATTTTTCTTTTATGCCAAAAATCATTAGGATATTAAGTAAAGATCATGTTCCATGAAGATATTTTGTAAATGTCCTACCGTAAATATATCAAAACTTAATTTTTGATTAGTAATATGCATTGCTAAGAACTTCATTTGGACAACTTTAAAGATGATTTTCTCAATATTTAGATTTTTTTGCACCCTCAGATTCCAGATTTTCAAATAGTTGTATCTCAGCCAAATATTGTCCTATCATAACTATACATCAATGGAAAGATTATTTAATCAGCTTTCAGATGATCAAACATTGACTGGTTTTGTGGTTCAGGGTCACATATAGGCTTCAGACACTTCACATTTTAAAAAATTGACCCTTATGACTGGTTTTGTGGTCCAGGGTCACAAACGAACTGAAGTGGCGTGAAAGTGTTCATCCTCGTACTTCTGTATCTGCTGTCCTCCCTTCTGCTCCGTCAGAGCTTGGCCTCCTCGTTCACCTGATTGGCCAGCTCTCTCTGATGGGTCCGCCTCTTCTCCTCAGCCGTCATCTCATTCTGACCAATCAGAAGAGAGAATGAGAACAAACCATACATCAATGGAAAGCTTATACGTGACCCTTATACGTGAGATGGGTGAGTTTTGAGGGTCAGTGAACAGGAAGGAGGCACATACCCTGGTTCTGTCTGCCAGCAGGGCGGCGCTGCGAGCTCCTTTCCCCAGCAGCTCCTCTGCGTTATCGTCCTCTTCCTCCTCGTCCTCTTCATCAGCGTTCTAAAAACACAGTAAAACGGTTTCCAGGCAACTTTAGATATATTTGTGTCCAAAGTTGTGAGAAATTGGAATATCGAATTAAATATTAGCAAATAAAGCACTGTTTATGTTGCACGTATACAAGAGAACAAAATCACTTCGTGGGAAACTGGTGCAAAAAAATAATACAAATTTTGGCAACTGAGGAAGCCTGTGAATATTTTTTCTGCATAATAATCCTAAAATAATGCCAATGACCACAAACCATTAAAATACACTACTCTATTTTTCCTTATACATTTTGAATTTGAATTTTTGTTTTATTTTTTTTAATGTATTTTTTCCATTTTAGACATTTTTTAAAATTTTGTTGTTTATCAGTTTTTTTATACTTGATGTAAACTTAATGTTTACTTTAGTGTCTGGCTGAAATAGAATGTTTTTATATTTTATTTCAGTTAAGATCTACTTCATTTTAAATAAATATTATTTTAAATTGGTCTACATGATTTTTATATATTCTTCATTTAATTTTTTTAATCAGTTTATATATCTATTATTGAAGTTTATTTCAGTTATTTTTATTAAAGTAAATGAACATTTTATTTGGCATATAACTGCAATAGAGTAAGTTTTTCATATTTTATTTCAGTTTACTTTTTCAAATAAAAATTATTAGTTGTTTTTAATAGGTCTACATATTTTATATATTTTAATTTTTTATATTATTTTCTTTCAGTTCACTTCTTTAAATTTATATATATATATATATATATATATATATAAAAATTTATACTCATTTTATTTTAGAACTATAAACAACAAATAAACATTGAGGAAAAAAAGTACCTGTTTTAATTGAGCACATGTTTTATGCACATTAATTTAAGCACATTACACACATCTTTGCATTTTAATCCAGCATTTTTTTATGCAATATCCCAAAATTGTCATTAAACAAATATATGGATTGAAACGGCTAATAATCACACTCAACAGGTTTTGCGTTTATTGTACATGTACAGTGCGTGAGATTTGGACCAGTGAGTTCACTCAAACTGAAACGAGCACGCTTGAGACAGACGGTCGTTACCTTGAGGAAAATGCCAACGTTTTTGATCTTCTTCTTGACGGGTGTGAGGACGGTGGCTTGATCCTCCTGCGATCACAAACACGAGCAGAGGATTACTGACGAGCGCTTCACAGAGAGAGAGTTTCCAGCCCGTGAAGCACGGAGCGTAACGCACCTCATTGATCTGAATGCTGTCTCCGATGAACAGGGCGTATTTTTTCTGCTCGTCTTTCTTGGCCTCTTGGTTGATCATGTCAGCCAATCCCAGACTGATGCTGAACACCATCCCTGCACAAACACAGCAGCGCAATTATTAAAAGAGCTGCAACTGAATTAGACAGAAGTGTTGCATGTTTCAGAGGGAGTTTATATTATATACACACATTAAAAGCAATGATGATAATATTTGCAATGACATTTTTCCCCAACAACGTGTACAACTCAGACTTTACACACAATACACTTTTCAAACAGTACCATGAATCTTCATTTTAAGGTAAACAGTTTAAACACAGGAACACAGTGTTGCTAGTATCTTGATGCAATGATGATAAATGCGGTACAACAGGCCCTGATTTACATGCACACACTCACCTCTCTTGAGTTTGAACTGATTTTTGGCGTTCAGTACGAGCGATCCTTCTCTGAACTCAATGCCCATAGCGAACCTGCAACACACACACACACACACGTATGTCACACGCGGCTCATTTTACACACTTCATATCGATGATCTGAGTGTCATGAAGCGTTTCAGACACAAACCCGAGGTTTTTCGTCAGTTTGCTGACCAGATCTGGTTTCTCTTTCTTGACGAACTCCAGGACGGTGTTATAGACATCACACAGCTTTACTCCTGTACAACACACACACACTAATTATTAAACCATTCCACAACACACACACAGACTCTCTCACACACACACACACACTCTCGCTCCGCCGGCTCACCGTGCTTCATCTCCTTCAGAAGCTCCTCCTCCACCTGCAGCAGGAAGTTGTAATTGTCCTGCATTTCCTGCGGCGGGTCCACCATGAGCGTGCGCACCAGGTTGGAGCAGTAGGACTTGTAGCGGATGCCCATGGCGCAGGTAATCGCGCCGAAGTGCATGTGGTTCTTATCGCTGGGGAGACAGACGCAGAGGTTTAGCGCCGGAGCGTCTCCGTCAGACGAATGAGCTCGCGCGGCTCTCACCTGACCACGCTGAACTTCAGGCTGTAGCTGCCGCCGCTCTGAATGATGGGAGGGTAGCACATCTCCACCGTCGACGGGTCCACGCCGCCCAGAAACTTCCGGTCCTCGATGGCCTTCTCCACCGACTCGGCCAGACGACTGTGCTTGACTTTCTGAGGAACAGACACAGATGTGAGCAGACGGACCACGACCGGAAAACACTAGCCACAGAACAACTCTGGATCTCCGCTGCGATAACTAATAACAGGGATATGAAATAGATTATGCATTTCAGATTATTTTACACATTCAACTGCAAAAACAACGGCAAGTTTAAAATGCTTAAAACATGTTTTATTCAATATTTACACGAGTAACTGGTTTATGTATATATTGAAATCTATGAATGAGAGGTCGACAGATATCATGTAACAAGTTGTTGTTGTTTTTTTACATTGAACATCAAGCACTTACTGAGGTTATTAGCATTAACTAAACCATTAAAAAAACATGTTACTTGAAATAAACTTTAACTGAAATTTATAAAAAAAATAAAATAAAAAAAAACTTTAAATTGTATGTAGCTACAAAGACAATATTTCTCTTTTTTTATTTTAAATTGAGGTCTAAAAAAACTGAAACTGAAGTAAAAATGAATAAAAACTATATAGATGATATTAAAACAAACAATAAATAAATAGCGACAACAACAAAATTACTAAATTATAAACTAAAATTAAAATGAAGACAAAAACAATTCAAAATATCAATAAAAACTACAATAGCATCTCAATGATACTAAAATATTAACTGTTTTTTATTATCACCCTCTGAAGTTCAATCACAAACTAGACGTGCGATACACCATTCGGTACATTTTTAAATGATTTAATAAAGAAATTAATACTTTTGTTGGTCAAGCATGCATTAAATTGACAGTAAAGACATTTATAAGGTTACTAAAGATTTCTTTTGTACATAAATCCTGTTCTTTTGAACTTTCTATTAATCTGTGAATCCTGAAAAATAAAACTTATGGCTTCCACAAAAATATAGTTCAGCACAACTGTTTTCAACATTGATAATAATCAGAAATGTTTCTTGAGCAGCAAATATTATAACGATTTCTGAAGATCATGTGACACTGAAGACTGGAGTAATGATGCTGAAAATACAGCTGCGCATCACAGAAATAAATTACAGTTTAACATATACTCACATAGACAACAGCTGTTTTACATTCTAATAATATTTAACATTTTTATACTGTATTTTTGATCAAATAAACGCAGCCTTGAGCAGAATATCAGAAGTTTTAAAATCTTAATGATTCCTAAAATCTCTGGCTCCTCAAAGCCGAAATCCTACTTTCCTCCCATCTTCTATGGCTCTGCGAGAGGAAAGGTGTGTGTTATATGAACGACAGAGCGAGCCGTGTGTGAACGAACCTCGTCGGCGTCCACGATCTCCATCACTCGCTCCTTGAAGAACTTGGTGAAGACGTCGCTGGTGACGGCAGCCGCCTTCTTCATGAGCGCCAGCTCTCCGTCCTCCTTCACGGCCATCGTGTAGGCCACCGCCGTGCTGACGTCCACCTGCCAGAGCGCCACAAACACACGGCATCAGCTCATTCACCGCATGCCACTGCTTCGTACGCTCTGCATGTGACCGTCAGTAAAACAGACCTTCTGCAGGCCCTCGGCCGTGATCATGTCGCTCCAGCTCTTCATGTACTCTCCCGGGAACTTGTCCTTCATGAACACGCCGACCGTCTTGCCGTCTCTGCTTCCTCGGACGGCTTCCATCATCTTCTCGAAGTTCACCTTGTTGCTCTCGTTCTGTCACACAAACATTAAACACCCGTTTTAAAGTAGTGACGGACGCTTTTGAAGCACTGCACCGTATCAAAATGCCAAAGTCACGGGATTTCGGTGAACGAGGCTTTGTTACGTTCATAACAGTTTCGAAGTGTTTCTATGGCGATCTCCGTGAATCAGGCGAGATTTATCAATTTGCAGACACTTTTAATGAGACATTTGTGTATAAGGATGAATAGTAGTTAATAGTCTCTTAATGGCCTGTTTAGACCAGCTCTCCATAAAACAAACAAAACAAGCCATGCAAATTAACAATAATTATTACAAAAAAAACACATATGTGACCCTGCAGCACAAAAGCAGTCTTGAGTCGCTGGGGTATATTTGTAGCAATAACCAACAATACATTGTATGGGTCAAAATTATACATTTTTCTTTTATGCCAAAAATCATTAGGATATTAACCCTTGTGCGTCAATTAAAAAAAGTTACACATAGGTACAAAAATGTCCATGTCAAAAAACTGTCATAAAAATGTGAAGCTTGGGAGCACAGAGTTAAGTTTGGTCTCATTTTAAAGAAGACCCATGCCAGATTATTGTTGAAGCAAAAAAAGTTTAAAAAGTGAAACCAAAAAAAAAAGTTTATAGATGTTTAGGTGTATGAAAATGATTTATGAAAGATGTTTTATATAAAATATATATTTTATGAAACATGTTGAACTCTATACCTGCTAGAAAATCAAAGCCATAAATCTAAACAAGTTGTGTTCCAAATTTGAGGTTGATATCTCAAAAAATGAGCTTTCAGTAAGATTTTGTTTGGGCGCAGTACCAAATTTTCCCCACTAGATGCCAGCAAAGCTCTGCTGGTGCACACAGTGGGTGGATTTGTGATTTGCAGTCGAGTTTCTCTCTCAAATATTACAAGAACACACACACAATTTGTTTTGTTTTTTTATGACACACATACAAACCACACTCTGACATCCATACCAACACACCCACACAATTATAGCTGCATTATTCATCCAATTGGCTCTATAATATCCAGAAGCAGAAAACAAATAAAGAGAGTATTTTCTTTATAGGTCAAACCTGAAAAAATGGCACCATCTGGTAAAAAATTAAATTTCAAAGCCTTGCCAATGTAATGAAAACCTATCAACAAAAATGGCATAATTTTACAGTTAAATGGCACTGCGATTAAAAATAGCAGTTTTAATGGGGACATTTTTGTCCTTGAGGTCCTGAGAGGAACAATTTTTTGTACCTAGTGCAAAACAGATTTATTAAAGGAAATGGAAGTGAAATAGTAACATTCCAATAAAAATACACACCTGTGCCAACATTTATGCAGTTGGCAATAACAGGCAAAATTATCAAAAAAAAAACAAAACTGAAAAGGACAAAAATATCCAAAAGGTCACACAAGGGTTAAGATCATGTTCCATGAAGATATTTAGTAAATGTCCTACCGTAAATATATCAAAACTTAATTTTTGATTAGTAATATGCATTGCTAAGAACTTCATTTGAACAACTTTAAAGATGATTTTCTCAATATTTAGATTTTTTTGCACCCTCAGATTCCAGATTTTCAAATATTGTCCTATCCTAACAAACCATACATCAATGGAAAGCTTATTTATTCAGCTTTCAGGTGATCAAACATTGACTGGTTTTGTGGTTCAGGGTCACATATAGGCTACAGACACTTCGCATTTAATGGCATTTTATTATTTTAATTGCATTTAATATTCAATAATTTCAAGAACGCATTTGCACAGGGTTCGCAAAAGTTGTTTTCGTTGCATTCACACGGTTTTGACCAGCAGGCATCACTAGCGCGTGGCGTTTCGAGCGCTTCGAAAAGGTTAGTTTCTCCCATCGCTACGTTAAAGCGGTTCAGATGATCGCGGGGCGTGACGCGTGCGGTACCTTTTCCCGGACGAGCAGCGTGATCGGAGGAATCCCGTTTGCGTTCTCGTTGCCTTTCGTGACGGCGACCTGCTTCAGGAACTCCACCTTCTTCTTACTGGCCAGAAACATGATCCTGGTCTCGCAAAACAGCATGATGGTGTCGGTGAGCTCGTACCCGAACAGCCACGTCTGCGGACGGAGGACATGAGGACATGAACATGCAGCCATCTCTCATGCTACTCATATTCTCATAAACGGGGTTTTATTGCACCTGAAGGGCTGTAGATTTGGCGTAGACGATCTCCTCGTCGACTCCGACAGAAACCACGATGGCATCCACCTTCCCGAACTCATCTTCTCCTTTCTGCCACAGAACAACAGCGTTACGGTGCACAACTATATCAGTAACACGTTATGAAGAAACTGATTTTATCATGTCTACACATTCAAACACTTTTCTAAAGCAGCAATAAACAGCTATATCTGCAACCACACAGCAATTGTTAGATTTCGCTATAAGCAAAAAACTCTATACATTATATCAAACATATAATGTATATGTAAATATAAAATATATTCGAATTCCATAATATTGTAGTTATAATGTATACTTAAATATTCTAAAATAAAGTAGTACAATTTAATTATTTAGGTAATGGAGCAATAATATTATAATAAACAAAATAAATTACTACAATAAAATCTAAAACAAATTAAATTATTCAACTTAAAAACTTATTTTACATTGTATAATATTAATTCGATTTTATAAAACAATATAAAAAATATCATACATAAAATAACTACACAAAACGCCTCTTAGTATAAAGATAACATTTATTTAGCAATGAAACAGTGCTGCAGGAATTTTAAAAATATTGCTTCTAAAACATTATTTTTATCATTCTTTGTCGTGAATAAAATAACTACCGTTACTAATGATAATAGCAGCATGTCTCGATAGGAGCTAGCTCACAGCTAATGCTACATCTGACTGAACTGCATACAAACCGAGCGGAAATGGCGTGAAAACATTACATGCTAACAAGCTAGCACATTAGCCGCTGCGCTAATCGCGCTAAAAGCCCCACAGAAAACGCTCGCAGACTTCGGCGACTCCGTTACAACAGAAATAAATCACCGGACAGACCCAGAGACGACCGCGGTGGCCTGCGTGTGTTTATATAACAGTTATATGGACATGAGGCCTGAGAATGTGTGTGAGAGAGAGGATTTCCAGCATCACACGGGCGCATAAACACATCAAACGTGAATCATTTCTGTCAGAATATGATTCTTCTGATGATTTAGTGCTGTTTCTGAGCGGCTGTGAGCTCTCCGTACCTTCCAGTTGCCGTAGAGTCGCTTGATGCGGCGGTAAAACGCCTCTTTATCCAGATTCACCGCCATAATATCACATCAACACACACTCACACACACACACACTGAAGTACAGCAGCGGCCAAACACACACACACTCCGGTGATCTCCACTGGACAAAATAACACCACCACACGCAAAAAGAACGAAGACACGGAAAATAAATGATATCTATTTAAACAGATTCACCGCCATAATATCACATCAACACACACTCACACACACACACACTGAAGTACAGCAGCGGCCAAACACACACACACTCCGGTGATCGCCACTCTTTCTGCTCTCCACTGGACAAAATAACACCACCACACGCAAAAAGAACGAAGACACGGAAAATAAATGCTATCTATTTAAAAAAAGACGGTTATTCTTCTTTAAAATGTGTTCGTTAAGAGCTGTCGGTCTGTGAATGCGCTGATGATGATATCGTATGTGCGCCGCTGATCTTTAGCTCCGCCCCTTTCTGCTCTTTATTATTTAACATGCTTATTTAACATTTATTTAAATATATTTATTTGTTTGACGTGATTGTTTTTTATTAAATATTTGTATGAATTTAAATTAAAAGTATTAATTTATTTGTTAGAGGCAATTATTTATTTATTTATGCTGCCATTTTGTGTGTGTTTAGATGTTTATTATTATTATTATTATTATTATTAACTAAACACGTGCTTGTTTCACGAAAGCACGGTATGTTTTAAAAGAACGATGCACTGAAATTAATCTGCGCGCGTTTATTAACTATATATTCGCTATTAAAGGTAACAGCGGCGTTTATTACGGCTTTTGTTTTCCTGCGTTTCCCTCCCTCGCAGAAACTCCCGCCTTGATGAACACGTCATCCGGCTTGGGACCAATGAGATCCCGCCCTGACGCCCACGTCACAGCGTTCCGGCTGTCCGCGCGCACGGCTTTTTCCCGCCATCTAGTGTCATTCGAAAGAGCGCGAACTCCAGCGGAGCACGTGGGCTCGCAGCGCGTTGATAGTAAGTTTTTAGTAAAAGTAAAAGATAATTTAACGAACATTTTATGAGCTAAATGATGTTAAAGTGCTAATACACTGCACTGTGACAGCTCAAGATTAAATAATAAGCATACTTTACTTTCGACCATCATTATGATTTAAAGCAGGCTTCTTAATTTGTTCGACTTCGTCGAGGTCCCTATATAATGAGATTAATTTACAGAAAAAAATATTGAACATGATTAATTTTGTGATTTTGGAAGGGTCAATAAATGTGTGTCCTTCATTAAAAACAACAAGTATTGCAGGAACATCAATATTGTGGACATCGTGCGTTTTTTAGCATTTTAATTAGATTATTTTAATATATGAATATCAATAATATAGTAATTTAAATAATTGTAAATGATTAAAATGAATAAAAAAATAAAACATCCCATTAATCCCAAATAAAAACGAAACAGTTTAGTAATCGTTTACTTTTTAATCCAACATATACTACAAAATATAATATTGAATATTTGCATAGATGATAATTACATAAATACATATCATACATATGATACTGAACGAGGACAGAATATCTATCTATTATTGTAAGGGACTGAAAGGTTGTAACTGAAGAATCATCCTAATAATAGATAAAGCTATTGTAATGACCAGACAAACACGTCACTGTTTTATTTCTTTTCTTTTTTTTTCCATCTGATTGTTTATTCAACTCTAACTCCTCAACACAATAAAAGAACTGATGTTACAACAGTCCAAAAAGTCAAAGAAGTGAAGAAAAATCAACAAAGAAAAGAATATTTCCATGAGCAGTTAAACATATATAGTCTGTTTCTGTACATTTCCCCAATATAAAATCTCTCTGTTTCTAGTCCACAGCGTCACAGTAAGATCTGAGAATGTAAAAGGTATTAAAACACTCCTGAACAAAAACTGACCACAGTAACCTCTGTTATGCCACAAAGGTCACGGGTTCGATTCCCAGGCAACGCATGAACGGATCAAATCTGGAGCTTGAATGCAATGCAGGTCACTTTGGATAAAAGCATCTGCCAAATGCATTCACGTAAATTAAATATATTCTACAATTGTTAGCATAATAAAATCACAATACATATGGCATCTCAAACAGCCGTTTTGATTTTGTGGCCGTTAGTTACCACAGTTCTATTGTAACAGTAACCATGGCAACAACAGAATTTTGACCATGAACTCTAGTTACCATGGTAATTTTTGCCCTTGTTCAAAATTAAATCAAGCGAGCGCCGAAATCATGATTTTAAAACAGTCGGTGCATTATTAGCTTAAGAATCAGTTTAGTGCACGATTAGTCTTTCTCTCTCTCTCACACACACACACTCTCTCGCACACACACATACACACTCACACTCTCTCACACACACACACGCACGCACGCGCACACTCACACACACACACACACTCACTCTCTCTCT